ATACCTTTCGGGGCTCATAAGCAGTACTTACACGGATTTCTCTCTTAATGCCGCATTTGCATGATTACCATCACTACCTACCAGACTGGTATCGTGGGAAAAATAATTTATTTTAATTACCCGTAACCAAATGAAGTACATACAACCGACGTGACTACAGCATACTATATTTAGGACAGTCCCTTTCACGCTCACTGAGTAAGAGACGGAGAAATGGGACCACAGTCGAGTAAGTTGGAAGTGGAAAAGGACAGTGAACAGAAAGTGAAAGGGAGAGACAACAATTCACGGCTGGCAGCAGTCAAAGGATTCTTACATGATCTGGGCCGAAATGAAATGTAGAGCTCTCATTTATACTCACGTTGCAGGCGACTAGTGCGAATAGCTCACCTATGTATCTGTTAAAGTTACAAAACTATGAACAACACAAGTATTAAGGAATTAATCGTGTTGCAAAGAAAAAGCCAACAAGGGATGAGAAAACAAAATCACAAACAGCAACAGTAATTAGTTTGTGGTTTTAAGGTCTGCTTTTGTGTCCTGAACTTTATGCTTATAGGTCAACATTCCTGAAACTTTTCCGGTGTTTACGATTTTTCTGAGTTTGACAGCAAAATAATTATTGTAAACTCTCCCTTTGAGATACTGCATGATTATGGCATTTATAAAGGAGATGATAACTTTAATCTTTAAGTGAGGATAAACCTCTAACAGATAAAGATCCCCCTTTTAAACACTGAATGGTTGCCAAAAACACCTAATGACCCAGAAGTTTAATGATTAGGGTTAGAAAACTAAGTGAATCAAGTTTTAGTTTAGGGTTGTTCTGGTTGTTATACAGAAAGGAGTGAACTGGAATTTGGTTCACTCAGTTTTCTAACCCTAGTCCATGGAAGTCTGATAAACTTTCTCAAAAACCGTGAACCCGACCGTGAAAAGCTTGTTTTATTCCCCAGTGTGAAATCACCTTTCGGTTTCTCGTGAAACGTGATTTTGGTGATCGCCGTGAGCCGTGATTTTTGATAATAACTTAAATGAATGAAGAGTCGTGGATGAGAGGACAACAGACGTGCCCTTTTACAACACATTAAAACATGTGAACAGTAAGCTCGGACGTCAGCATAACTTGTATCTGTGATACGAGAATCGGGTGTTTAATTCACAGTAACTGTGATTTTTTTTCATGTTATTTTTAATTTTTCGAGAGAAATTATAACTTTAATTGTTCGATTGAAGCAGACCAGCTCTCTGAATACGATGACAACTCCTCTGATCACAATGATTCTGTATTAGAAGAAGATGATGCCGAGCCTCAACCTAAACAAAGAACTTGGTTTCCTTTTCACAGCACCAAGAACAACAAGCGGGAGAATGGTGAGGGGATCCGCACAAGGCAGTTCTTTGGCGGTAGTTGTTAACCAAAGTAAGAAAAACTGATCGTGTAAAAACTTTTTTTTTCTCGTGAAACGTGAAAAGCCGAATTTATTGTCGGTGAAATGTGAAAGCGCCATTTTATTTTCCATGGAACGTGATCAATACCCTTCCACATGTTTTTTACCCTGTTTGGGTCGGTAAATTGATTAATTCCTCGCGTTAATTTGTTTTGACATAAACCTTCGATTGTCTTGACTCACGTTGTCATGATCAGCTGATGTTGTACACAAAAGCTCTTGGAGCAAATGAAAACTTCGACACCTCAAAAGGAATAAAACCTAGGAAAAACACAAGTGTGGGCCGATGATATCAAATATACTTTACTTTACTGTCCATTATAGTAACACAACACGTCACACAACACAAGACTCGCTTCGTTTTAAAAACCGTTTTGAAATAAGATAGCATTTGCAGGACGTGGGTAACCGTTTTTGAGTGACTTCATTCCCGCATTATTTCGATCTCTATTACTTTCCAAAAATTTGTTTTCGCAAACGTTAACTCACATAACTCAGACGATCATCTCATTCTGCCGATTAATTGTCTCAGTTCTGCACACCAACAAAGTGTTCAGCTGGTTGCTGTTAATGTGTTCTCCTTTTGGTGCATTAACAGTGAACCCAATTTCAAACGTCCAAAAAAAAAACTCTTTGGGGATAGCTCAGGGTTACAAATTAAGCCGAGCGGCTCTGGGGACGAGAATGGCCTCGTTTCAAAAGCACTTGACCAGGAAACGACGGGCTCTGGGGACGAGAATGAACTAACTTCGACTGTGATGACATTGTTAAGTGATGCACGTGGTCTCTTTCCGAGAAAACGCAAAGTTATCCAATGGCGAACTGCTTTCGTGTTTACCGAAAGTTGATCACGCGATCAACTAATGCAAAAAGCCTGTTCCCATTCGTGGTCTACTTCGCCATCCGTTCACAGTCTTCACAAGTCGTCGATGCGAAAAGAGAATCTTGAAATGAAGGTGAGTCTACGAAAACTTACTTTTCCAGTACGTTTAAACAGTATAAGTTCGTAGCCTCAGCCGCGTCCCAAGTACCTGACTAACATGAGACAATTTCATCGGTGTCTGCTTTTAAATTAGCTGTTACTTCTCCGGTGTTTCATTTCAGTTTGTCACTCGCAGGAGGAATTTTTCACTACTGTTTAGCCCTTTGAATGGTTTCTTTTCAGCTTCTGCTTCATGAACTTCTCTAGGTACGAGTCGTCGTTACTGTCGATATTTATTTCGGGCTACTAATAAAGCTCGTAGTGTTCATTTTTAATACCGTCGCAAAACCATTTCGACTCAGTTGAAACGGAACAGGCCGCAAGGACAAGAGGACTCGTAACGGAGTCAGTGCAAAAACGCAGTCGAAAGTAAGCAAGTTCTTTCCAAACTCAGCTCACGGGTTTCATACTGGATTGGATTTAATCCTGGATAAATTCTACGGTGGCCCAAAAGTGTTACGGCAACAGTCAATTTACAACGGAAACAGTCAATTTACTTACGGCAATTCCAATTTGTTCACGGCAATTTCAATTTACTCACGGCAGTTTCAATTTTACTCACGGCTATTAAAAAAAGAGTACCAACCATAATTCCATTTTCTGTGCCCAAGGCGGTATATAATTCAAGGGGGCATCCTCCGTGCTCTCGAACAGCATTTAGATAAGACGCAGCTATGTTGTCAAGTAGGTTGTTAGAACGCGTGACATACCGCCAAAGTACTTTCCTGTTCACTGACCCAACTGTACAACCATGTATGGAAAATCCGAACGGCTTTTATTCCCTACTACTGGAGAGCATGACAACTAGCGCTGCGGTAGCCAACAGAAGTGAACTTCCAGCAGTCCAGGGCCATCTATTATTGGGGATCAAAGTCCACCTTATTTCGGTGTAACTTGTACTGTTTTAGCTTTCTCTTGAGTGTACTAAGGCTTATTGTTATTGTTATTGTCATGTAGAGAATTTTCCTGATACTCATTGAAATTGCCGTGAGTATAAAATTGAAATTGACTGGAACAAATTGAAATTGCCGTGAGTAAAATTAAAATTAACGTAAGTGGTCGTAAGTAAATTGAAATTGCCGTGAGTAAAATTGAAATTGCCGTAAGTAAATTGAAATAGCCGTAAGTAAATTGAAATTGCCGTGACACTTTGACCTTGCCGTGATACTTTTGGGCCATTTGAAGTTCCATCAGACACCAAGTGTTCCATGTTTTCCAAGAAAGTAGGCCTTACAAGCGCACGAGCTCAGTTCGTTGCTTTTGTCTCTTTTTTTTTCATTTTCACAGGTTTTTGCTCAATGTAAGAATTTAAATAGAAAGATACACAGTTGATGAATTCGAGTAGTTTTTCTTTGCAGAGTATCTCGATTCGCTAGTGCTCGAGGGCAGGGAAATTATTGACTGGCTCGCTTCCGGCTTTCACTTTCAAATCTTCTTGGGGAGGGTTGAGGATTAGTTTTGCTTAAGAGAAGTGCCTTCCGGCTTCACTTTCGCTTTCAAATGAAAGTAGCAGGGGAGGGGCTGGAGTCCTGCAGTTATCTTTTAATAACTTTGAACACCTATAAAAATGAGTCAAATATTGAGAATCAAAGAGGGTGTACTGGTCAGGCCAATAACTGTAATCAGAAACCCTTATGAGTTTCTGCTGTAATCCAATTCCGGACTTTACTTTCATTTTTGAGCGTGGAATTAAGAGGATTAGGGTCAAGGGATGACTGTTCACTACGTTGTTTTTCTTAAAAGGTAATAAAACAAAAATGATAAAAGTTTCGTACCTTGCAATTGTGGAGTTATCAAAAATGACCGCGCAAATACTTCCGGTCGTTCGCGGTCACTTCCGGGCTTGCTTATAGTGGGGAAGACGCGAAAGAAAAAGGCACGCGTTTTATTTTCGTGTTTACGCTTTCTTAATTCAGTGGATCCGACTATCTCGGAACCTGGAACAAGCAATCAGTTTCATGACTCAGCTTTACAGCATAAAAATCCCTATTTAATTTTGCAACCGCGACAGCAGAAGGAGAAGTGGTGCGGTCGTATTAAAAAGGTTTTGAGAAAGGATGATAAGGACTTTTTTTTACGTTTGGTTAAAGTTATCCATGCGGCGTGGAGTGATGATCGATAAACTTTTCCGGACTCCAACGAGCACCAGACAGGGGAATTAGGATTGCATTGTCCTACTCAAAATCAACGAATTGTAACTCAGCTAAAAAGCTGACGAGGCATTGACTTAATAATAAAATCTCACGCTCACAACCTAAATGGTAAAATGATTTACTGGTACACCCTAATTGTTGCTAGCGTCAGAAGCAGTGTAAAATAGGGAATATTAAAAACGTTTCGTTTGAGTTATAGAAGCGTCCTCGATCGTCATACTTTAACATGCACACCTCGTTTTTATTTTGTAAAATGGTTCCAACTAGAAAAGTATCATTCACCACTATCTTTTTTCCTGCTTATTTAAACACCTGCTCAAACCTGTAATAGGTGGTCAGAGTGCTTGATGCAGGTTAAAAGCTTAAAAACCATTTTCTTTTTTTTTTCTATTTTAATTCAGGGTAGTTGCAGCCATGAATCGCAGTATACTTACAAGGCAGTTGCAACAAAGAAGGCTGGAAAATGAACTGAGACAAAGGGAGGCTGAAAAAAGGCTGCGCATACTGCAAGAAAAACGACGAGAAGAAGAGAGAAGGCGAGTGAAGTATCAACAACAGGGGCAACGTGAGATAAAACAAGAAGAAGCGAGGAAGAGAGAAGAGGAAGAAAGGCGCCTGCGTTTGGAGATCGAACTGTGCCTCCGTCGAGCTGCGCTGTTTGACTACAAATTTGGGAACAAGATCAAACTGGATAGTTTCAAAGGTCTGGCAATAGATGATGTGACACAACTCAGAATCGGTGTGTTCGGACCTACTGGTTCTGGCAGGAGCTCCTTTATCAACACGTGTGAACGAGCATTGAGGCAGACAGATAAAGGCACAGCTCCTGACAGCACCACAGGTCAAGAAGGAACCATAATTCTACGGGATTATCTCCCAGAGTTATTCTTCCACTTGGTTTATACAAGTGGTCTCTTCAACTACAACGCTAACGAAACCGTGCAATTTGAGAACATCTTGGAAGGAAAGATACAACCTGGGGATAATGTGGTCAGTTCTAAAGAAGACCAAGAAGATGCTATGGACCTTCACCCATGTCCACCATTTGTCAACCGTCTGCATGGTATCATCATTCTTTTCATGGCGAATGACCCGCGACTGATGGGAGGTGCCTTGAAGGATTACCTAAAACCAATTCGAGATATTCTGCGTAGAACTGGTTAAGTGTTTGCTAGTAATGATAATCAATATAAAACACCTATGCAGACAGAGACCGACAATCAGACCGACGGGGACTTTTCAGTTCTCAACACGGAGTTACAAAGAATTGGTTTCCAATAAAGCCGTGCATGCAATAAAAAATCAAAATATATAATATGACAAAAATTACATATTCAATTACAGATATACAAAACTAAAAAGAGTACCCTGGAGATCGAGGTTGCGCAAAGATTTCATAATAAACCTCGAGAAATGGTTTAACTTTTATTATAGTAACTGTTGGAAGAGTATTCCGTAGCTTAGCACCTTGATAAGAGAGACGTTTTTCTTGAAGTATTCGGTGCTTTTGGAAATATTGTCAGACATGTAGAGCACATCACGTACTACAGCAATCAAATTGCACTCTTTGGTAGATCAACTCCCTCTCCTGGCTTGAATGTTCTGTTACGGTACAGTCAGTAGTACCTCTCGATTTAAGAAAAATTAGGATCTAGTCAACTCTATCACATTATGAGGCTCGAAAACACAACGTGACCGTGACACAAAGGGCTTTGCATTAAAGTTGGCGTTTTTTCATGCAATTAATTTGGCCCAAATTGGAAAAGAATTATCAGCAAGAGTTAACAATTTATCATACAAAACGGCCCTGTTGCTGACCTCGGCTTACAAAATGTTATTTGATATTAAACGGTGGCGTTTTGTTAATGCGAGACATAGAAATGGTTGGGAGAATGACTGATTCAGTTTCGTATTACGCTTGAGATCGTTACAGTTATTTTTAAAATGTGTGACCAAGAGATAAGCACAGGGCTCTAAAGCTTAAAAAAGAAACTCTTCCAACTAAAAAAAAAAAACTATTAGACTAGGGAGACTGATAGACCTGCACAAATAATTTCAGTGTCTGTTTTGAGAGACCTATTTTATTGTTTAATCCGTTTTTAGTTCTGGTTTCATTGTTTCCTTTCACAATCCTTTACCAATCTATTCATTTCTTTTTGCTCCCACAAAAGGAATCGCACCCATCACTGTTGTTACGCACCGTGACAAACAGAGCACAGAAGAGGAATGTGAAAACGTAGTTTACGCAGCTTCAGCGGCTACTGGCAGTTTACCCAGTGACACTTTTTTCGTGACTAACTACTGCAAAGACAACAGCAAACGCAATCCAGAAACAGAGCGTATGGTTTTCGACATTCTACACTGCGCGCTGTTGAAGGCTGAGACTGCAGTAAAGATCATGAAACAGACCCAGAGAAACGAAGAAGAGTATGAGAAGAAGCGCGCGCTTGAAGGAACTAATGTCAGCGAACAAGTTGCGCCAGACTCCGCGGAAGGTGATCAACAAACCTTTATTTCCTACACACAATATGTAAGATAGTGCTAGCCCGCAAAGTAGCATTAACACTAATCGAGGCGGTCAGGCACAGATAAATAGCAGTTATTCACCGTAGTGATGGTGGACTTTTACCGTGACGTGAAGCGACGATAAATTTATGTTAGACGAAGCTTTACCTGTAAAAACTTCCAAACCAAATTTCGTTGCCTTCGTCGTGTATTTCGGGAAGAGTTTTTTCGATTATTTGTGAAGTTTCTTCGTTTGTTTCAGCGGCAAACCGGGAAGCCATTTTTCTCGTAACCTACTCAATTTTGGCGCCGCTGTAAAGTGAATACCACTGGATATCCCGAGTTTAAGCAGCCAATCAGAGCGCGCGAAAACCACTATCCACTGTTTTAGTATTAATCATAACTATAACAAAATTCTCAAATCTGATTGGTTCTCAACTGCCCTGATTTCAGCCTTAATAGGACAGTTTAATAGGACAGTACGCGTCATGCCTAAGTAATTGGACAGTACGCGCCATCACGCGCGCCCTTAAATGGCTTTTTTTTTTTCATTGCTAGCGAAAAAATCTTGGAATTTCTTGTGTTTTGATTTAAAAAGAGCCCTATATATCACAAATTTTGTTAAAGTTATGATTAATTGGTAACAGAACTTCGTGTCGTCCAATTCGGTCTGTAATCATACTCGTGATTAAACAAATCGGACTCCCGCTACGCGGTCGTCCGATTTTGTTAATCACTCGCATGATTACAGACCGAATTGGACTCCACTCAGTCCTGTTATCATTACAAACTAAATATAAATATTTCGTATTTAACAATTATTTGCCGAAGGCGAAGGTAATATTGTTGAATAATCTCCGAGACGAAGTATCGGGGATTATTCAACCATAGGCGTACGGGAAATTTTTTGCCAGGGGGGGCGGTAAACCATTTGCCCAAAAAAATCTCGCAAGTTGCCCAAATTTTTCCGAAAGAGTCGAAAAGAAATGAGGGCCATATTGCAACAACATAGGCCGCCCTGGCATATGAAGGTGGCTCGATACGGTTTTTCAGGGTCAATACCAAGTCTGAGCATAAACTACGTCGCCATAAACAAACATTTGGAAAAATTGCGACCACAGTTGTATTAAGATGAAAATTTGTCATCATCAGAGTTGCAATGACATCGGAGTTGTCATAGCAACGAAGTGACTCCCCCCGCCCATTACCTATTTTACTTCAGCAATGATTCCCGGCACGGGAACCTTACAAAATCGTTCACAAGAGCTTTTTTCTCCAATACGGTCGCCTCGATGTTCGTGAAGTTTAAGCAAAACCTTATCGAGATATTTTGGAATGAAGTTTTTATTATTAGAAATACGGTAAGAACAGGAAAATCTTGATTTTTGGCCGTTATCTGTAGAAAACGACGCGCTTTTGACCTGCAATTTCACCTCATAGTAGTTTTAATCTTTTTAAAAACATGTGTGAAAGATCGTGGAGATAGCTCTGCTTGATTGCTAGAATCGAAAGAAGGATTTGATTAGTATGTATCGAGACACTCTTGTTAGCGGTTTTGTAAACATTTCGGTCTACTTTAACAAATTACCGAATAATTTTAAACCGCTCGATAGACTTTTTAAAAGAATTAAAATTCTTCTCGTAATTCAAACTGAGAATTAGTCAGCCACTTCTTCATTTTCATACCCATTGCTAAATGCTATCTGCCGTACTCTGTTCTTCGAGTAGAGATAATTCTAGAAAGTTATTCGAAAGTTTATTTTAATCAATTCACGACTGGAAATAGCCCATTCCAGCTAGTGCAGTGCAGTATAGTGCCCAACAAAAAAAACTGCAAATATGTAAATTACTCATCACATGCTAGGCAACCACTTCAGGTTAATATTCAGGTCTTTAAAATAATTAAATAAACATGGAGACGTCTTTAAAAATTGGCTTTGCCCAAATTTTCTCTCGCTGCCCAAAAAATCTGAGTTGCCCAAAATTTGGGGGGGCTGCAGCCCCCCTGGCCCCCCCGGCCCGTACGCCTATGTATTCAACAATATTAACTGAGCCTGAGGTGAATAATTGTTTTAGTATATTCACACGAAGTGATCTCAACAGAATCAGAAAGGAAACCATTAAAAAACGATTAGTTTGATTGACGGGTGAATTCATGCGTGAACACGAAGCCGTAAACAGTGGATGCGCAAAAGTTAGATCTTTACAGTATCTTCAAACATGGCAAATGATAGTTTTAATCTTTTTGTATCGAGTTTTGTAAGCTTTAGCATCAACGGTTTAAAAGAAAACGCCGAAAATTTAAATTACTACCCAATTCTGAGAAGAAAAATAGAGTTTTATTTGTTTCTGTCAACTCACCGTGAATGAGAAAGTTTTCTTATGTCGCTTCTTGCAAATGCTGTCAACAGCGGCTACGATCAAGGTGAGCGTTGTTTATCTCCAAAGTTCTTTGCCTTGTTAACTTGCTGGCAAGTAAAATTTTCGAAAATATTTTCCTTCCTCTTTTCTCCATAAATTAACTTCTATTTATAGGCAAAATTGGTCTTGCGAGAAAATCCTGAAATCACAAAACAGTGACAAAGCGACCTCGTTTTCCTCTGTAGTCGTAAACATAGCTTCGAGCGTACAAAAAGTCAGCTACATTAAACCACTTCACAATAAATCACGCTGTTTAAACACTGTGCAGTCTTTTCTTGCCTTCAAAGTCATCAGCACTTGGATATTCGTGTATTTTCAAAAAGGCTTTACTATGAAACTTTGGCAAAACACCCAGTTCACGACAGCGATTTTGTTCTGCTTTATATTCACCGCCTAGCGCGGTGAATATAACGTCATAGTCCGAGATAGCTAACCAATCACTAAGTGTGTATATACTAATAACATATATTCAAGATTCATAGTATATTAAGATTGATTTACTGTAACAACTTGAAATTTGAAGAAAAACCTAGCCTACGAACCGGCCAAAAATCCGCTTTACAACATTGGCCGTTTTATACTAAGGACGCATCATCCGTCTGGACGAACTTGGGAAAACATTTGTAGCTCGTCTGGTTTTGAATTTAAAGTATAACTTTATTTCCTCTCCGTCATCTCCTCCATCAATGTTCAGACCTTTCATAGTAGGTTAGTTACAGACTACATCTCTAGCGTTCTTTCGCAGGGCGATTCTGGTCTGTCTCCTCCTCCTCAGGCGCTGCGTTTTTTGTACTTTAGTCGAAAACAAAGTAGCCTGAGTCGCAGACGTAATTTACCTTGGGTTAGTAACGTCTGCGAAGCAGCGCTGACATCCTTGTTCCGTGCCCCCAGTGAAGTCAACGAATGACCGGAAGGGCATTTTGAATTTCTTTTCATACTGATTGAAAAAACAACAATGGCATTTTTAACAGCCAATCATGACGCGTACTCAAATCCTGGTACACATGTGAGGGCCCAGAACATGAATTTCGGCGCTATTTCACAGGTGGACTTAACCAGAGTTTAGTTTCGTCTGTGGCACAGGCTAAGAACAAAGGCGAGCACGAAATGCTAGAGACTGGTGACGAAGCGCAATGGATCACGGAAAGGAGAAAGAGGCGAGGCCACCTTCCTTTGCTCGCAAATTTACATCGAGAGAGAGAGAGAGAGACGTCTGGTAACAAGGCAAGGGGGCTAGTAATGTTGCATGCTAAGGTCGGTACTAGGTTAGTTGCACCTTTTAAAGGAATACAGCTGTGTAGTGCTTGTGAGTGTTTATTAAACCCAATAAACTGAATTGACTAAAAGAGCTAAAAGAATGCATCGCCTCAAATGAGAGACTAGCCTGTTTAAGATTCTGAGATAGCTGCGACAACAGCGAATAGAGAAACCTGGCGCTGATGTGGGGGCTGGAGAGAGCTAAAGGAAGCGAGGATTAGGGTTATTCTCACATCACGCACGTCTTAATTTCTCGTTTTTGCGATCCTTTATTTCGTAAAGTCCCTATAACTATCTGAGAGCACCTAGCTTCTTTTTGAAAGAGAGAGTTTTCGAAACTCGGAAATGGCCTATTGACATAGTTATCTTCTCTCAAACCCATTACCCAGTCGTCAAACATCCATCCATTAGGTCTTTTCTTAGAATTTTTTGATATGCGAAGCAGGCGGTGCGAGACAGATGTCTTCACTGTCGTGCTCTTCTAACTCCATTCCACTTATTGAATGGAACGAACCCATTCTGCTTTCGGTATAGGGTACCACCACCCCATCCCCGTCCGACCCATACTGATCGTTAGAATACTAAGGCCTCAATAACTGACAGTAATTTGTACTGATTACATGGTGCAATAACTCTCTTAACATTAAACAATCATTCGCCGAAGGCGAATTAGTATATACACACTCAGTGATCTTGGTAATTCAAGCAATCTGATTGGTTAGCTATCTCGGACTATGTTTTGAGGGTTGTCAAATACTATCGACTAGAATCCAGTCGTATCCCTTTGCTTTCCATCGGAAAACCGGAAGTCTAGTGGTGTTAAGTCCTACCAAGTATAGATGATCCATTGGAAGCGAATAGATTCCGATGGAAAAGTACATTTTCTATTCGTGAGAGACAAAAATTTCACTCATGTTGGATGAGGGGGTAGAAAGTCGTTCCGATGGAGTCCATCGGATCCATTGGAAGCGAATAGATTTCGAGAAGCACATACAAACTTGATTTTCTCTGAAGCATTTTCGGTTTTGGAGTATTACACAGCCAATAATGTTATATCATGTTTCAGTGCGTAGAGTGCTAGCCTGTTCCAGGCTCTCAGATCCTTCTTCGTCTTCGCGCTTTCTTAATTCAGCGGTCCTGACTATCTCTGAGCCTGGAACAGGCTAGTAGAGTGCTATCTGACTAAGACAGAGCTAGGGATCCAATTTCAGTAGCCTTCTTTGATCAAGTCGCTTTATTTTCTGATTTTAACCATTTTACTCGAGTTACTTGGACCAGCTTTTGCTACCTTTAGCAGTAGTGCCTTTTATATATTGGAATAAAGCTCAAAAAACATTTTAAAAAAGCTCACTGTGA